AGGGGGAAGACGACAGGAGAGGGAGAGAGAGAGAGTGACTGTGTTTGTGTACATGCAGGTTGACTCAGCTCTTAGATTTTGTGCAGCACTTTTGGAAAATGCCTAGACAGACTAGGAAGGCCTTACAGGATCCTCCTTATAGACTCTTACCTAGTAAATATATGCATATATATATTTATATATAATGAAAGATCAACCCATTTTAACCCTCTCTCTCCTGCAGCCCCTTTGGGCAGTTGGACACTGTGGCTGATGCTTATTAGTGAATTGCACATCTGTGTGGCAGTTCTGGGTGTTGTGATCATAAAATGCTAATGCTCAGAAGTAGTTATTGGTTTGATCATGGATATTGTGGTTTGTTATTTTCTGATGTGTAAAATTTAAATTGTGTGGCAGAAACACATGTACTTAATAAATTAGTTATTTTAACTAATTTTAGTTAAAATTTTAATCTAATTAATCTAATTTTAGTGGGAAATAGCTCTACATAATAGCTCTGTGTGTGTGTATATACTTGTATATGTATAAAATGATGAAATAAATACAATGACCACAAGTATTCATGAATCAATGTTTGCTGCACAAAAAAAAAAAGAATTAAATGGAGGGGGGGAGAACATTTTCCCACCCTTGCTCTGACACTCTGTACGTAGGCAGTGAGGAGGCACTTTGCTCCCTTGTGAACCATTTTGATGAACAGCTTGTGAGGACCTGGCTACTCCCCTTGTGCATGAGTGACAGCCCCCCTTTTTATACTGATAAAAAAGTCCCAGGGGCCGGACACTACTGGGTATAGCTGATACTGCAGCAGAAAGAGGACTTGTTCTAGGAACTGCAGCTAGAAAACCTGTGTTAGGCTGTAGCTACGGACAGGTCCAAGCTACACAAAAATGCGTGAAATTGTGCATCTTCAGATTGGCCAGTGTGGAAACCAAATTGGAGCTAAGGTGAGACCTCTTTTCAGTATTGATCATTAGTATTAAGTGTTATCAACAGCAGCAAGTCAAATATTAACAGGCTGGAGCTTTGAAAGTGGAGGAATAAGTACTGTGAAGTCTAAATGGGAGGATACATGACATGGTGGCAAAGAATAGGGGGTGTTTTGGTGGACTTGCTCCTCACGCAGAAGTGGATGCTAAGACTGAATGAAACTTCTTTGCAGTGGCTGTGTGGCACCGTGATTATATG